AAGATGAGGCATATTCATTTAATCTTTGTCAATATGTAATACGTTCTACTGGCTTATGAAAAGTTTCATACTATGAACTTGTGTTTTGAGTGACCAAGATTGACTGGATTAAAGTGTCCTTTTCTTTAGGAATGCTAGTGAACTTGAAGTAGCTTGATTTATATAAGTTTTTTCTTACTTTTACCTTCAGGTTGATGTTGAACAATTCATCCTTTTCTACATGTAACATTCCTGAGTCAATTTGTCTTCTTGTGGGCAATTCATGCATCATTATATTCAAAATGTTTGAAATTTCAGAGTCTCACATTTGTACTGATTTAGTTACTTCACTTATATTTTTCTTTGTTGGTCTGCTTTTGCCCTCAGGTTGAGCTCTTAATACCGCAGTTGCAGTTTCTTGATGATGAAGGTGCCCAAGCTGAGCTCTGGGAACTTTCAAGGATTTTCTTGGATACATTAATTGAAGAAACTGGATGTCAGGTTAGTTGGGAGCACTGTTCTAGTTGTAATATTCNTCAAGGATTTTCTTGGATACATTAATTGAAGAAACTGGATGTCAGGTTAGTTGGGATCACTGTTCTAGTTGTAATATTCGGATTGAGACTTAGTAGTCTTGTATTTTTATTTTTTCTTTTTATTTAGTCTAAGACTTGAGAAGAATAAAAATATGGTCTAATAAAGAATTATATGGGCTGATTCATATTGAGACATTTTGCGTTTTGTACGGTTTGGAGTTTAAAGGAAGGAAATGCTTATGTCTGTATGAAGTAAGTTATTTAAATAATCATATATTTCTTTTTGCATAAACTTCTATATTAAAAGGTGAAGGCGTGTGATTCTATAGTTCTGTGTTGTTTGAAGCCTCACATGGATAAGCAATCATATTTTTATCCATTATAGTGAAATTTTAATTGCTAAGATATATTTCTTATTGTTAGAAAGTGAAAGCCATATTTCCAGATGCTGGTGCTGCTGCCCTTCTAAAATATCAGTGGAAAGATGCTGCTTTCAGCTTTTCGAGGTAAATTTCACCTTGCTGATGAGATTCCCTTGTTCATACAATTTGGTTAATTTCTCTTATCCAGAGGTGTTTGGCACCATTTGCCTACATGTAGGAGTCCTACCGCTGAATCATCTTGATTTTGGATTTGTTCAATAATGCTTGCATGACTAAAAGTATCATAACTGTACTGTGAAATTTAAACTCCTAAGTGAAAGAAGTTAGTTTGTGATTGAATTTAGATATTTTCAGTCTAAATAACTCTTTCATACCATATTCTTGCCCAGTTTAAGTGACCGGAAGCCTGTAGAGAGCGACGATGAAATTATTGTTATGGTAGTTCCTGATTATCAGATGTTGGAATATGTCGAACGAATTGCATCTGATCTCTCAGATGATCCGGTACTTCCTTGATCTCATCATTCTTTTTAAGCATGATTTTGCAGTTATTCAGTTTTAATATTTCTCTTGACTTTCCTATCCAGATGATTAATGTAATGCTGAAATGTATTAGCTTCTAGCTCGATAGAACCTTCCTATATTTCTAATTGTAGGTGTTTGGATTTGGAGATCAAATCCTGTTCTGAGGCTGCTAACAAAATAACAACTGACTGTTTCTCTAATTGATATAGTGCTAACAGTGACACAAAGAGAAGACCGTTTCTTTATATATAGAACACACACACAAAGCCTGAATTGATATGAATGGAAGAGATGTTCAAAAAAAAAAAAAAAAAAAAAAATGAATGGAAGAGAAACACTAACAAAAAAAGTATTATTGAATTGGGGCAATTTATAGGAATGCCCTAGACCTCTAAATATTCCGAAACTGAATTAACGCCCTAATTATATGAAAGTTTCCAAAACCAAATTAAAACACTTGTTGAATAGGATTTAGAAAACTAAATATTCTCGGCAAGAGTAGAATATCCCTAATTAAGTTCTGACCCTAACAAAATGATAAATAGAAAACAAAACAGAGAAATTAATAAGTCATGTCGCCAATGGTGCACTCACACTTAGATGTCGGAAAACACAGATGCTGACACAAACCCATAACACCAACAAAACAATCAACAACTTAGACGATTTTGGCCCAAAAGCTCTCAATGATACTTAGTATCCCACGTTGCGTCGGCATTCATTCTTACATGATTACTACTTATCTGGGTTGAAGTTCATTAGGGATAGCAAACTAGAGCACAATCGACCACCATGAAGGGATTCCGGTTCACCTTTCAACCTAGAGGAAGAAGGGAAAATATAGTAGAAGGAGATGAAGGACAAAAAGGGACTAAGATGCAAATCCTAAAATAAATATGAGATCGAAAGATAGGATTAAATTCTAAGATCTTCTTTTGATACCATGTTAAAATCAGAGTTTATTGAGAGAGAAGAATTTAAGAAAAGAGAGGAGGTCACAATCATCCATCTACAACTCTCTCTATATATATACCCTTATGATTGGTTTACTTATTACAAATCTAACATTGGCATTTAGGGAATATTTCATCCACACCCCTGATAAATTATCATATTTTCAAAGGAACCCCATGAATTATTTGAAATTTCATGGCACTCTCTTGTAGTGTATATGTCCACTTCATGTAGGCCCGCTACTCTAACTTACAATTACTGACAATCTAAAAGTTGCTTACGTCATACCAATGTTTTCTTCACATACCAAATTTACCCTCATTTCCCATGAAACCCCTCCCCAAGATTGCAATCTCCCCTTTCACCTTCTAACTGCTGTGTGCAGACCTGGAGCTGCCATCACCGCCACCCAAACCAAATTCAAATTGCATTTGCCTTGCACAACATCACCAGGGAACCCAAGGATCAAAATATCGTTTCGAAACGGTCAAAAAATGTAAAATGTTTTTGTTTCCGAGGAGATCGAAACAAATCAGTAATGAAATCGAAATTCTAATGCTTTGAGGTGTTCTATAATGTTTTGAAATGTTTGTTATGTTTCAATACATTTGCACAATTATTTCGGAATGGTTTAAGATATCTNTGTTTTGAAATGTTTGTTATGTTTCAATACATTTGCACAATTATTTCGGAATGGTTCAAGATATTTTGTTATATTTCAACCAATATTTTGAAAAAATAGTTGTTAAATTTTTTATTTTTTTTCATTCTATTTCCGAAACGATCAAAACGTTTCCAAAACATGTCGAAACGTTTCCGTTTCTTAAGTGACTGAAACAATGCCCCAAAACGAAATTTTGATCCTTAAGTGTACCAACACCCNTTGTTATATTTCAACCAATATTTTGAAAAAATAGTTGTTAAATTTTTTATTTTTTTTCATTCTATTTCCGAAACGATCAAAACGTTTCCAAAACATGTCGAAACGTTTCTGTTTCTTAAGTGACTGAAACAATGCCCCAAAACGAAATTTTGATCCTTAAGTGCACCAACACCCAGAGCTGTCATAACCACCACCCTAATCAAATTCGCACCCAATGACACTGCCCACGACCACTTCGCCGGCTGCAAACCAGTAACCACCACACCATTGAGCTGCCATAAAAATGGAAGAAAGATGAAACAGGGGAAGAAGGGCAGTTAATGCAAGGCATCACCAGTGCCACTCTTGCTCACAACTGGAAAATCAGCATCACAATATATATATATATATTGTACAATTGTCTTTCAATTAAAAACAATGAGCAAATCAGAAAAATAAAAATTATTCCAGCTTGACCTTTACATTGAACCATTGCACCAATAGAATCCCATGGCCACCCAGCACAGCAATATCCCAATTCAAATAAAAATCTGAAAACAACCCAATTTATCTAAAGTTTAAGCCCTATTTGTACCCAATCACACCAAATCACTAGTGAATGATAACTCCAATTACAGTGCAACCAAATTGAGGACGGAATTGAGTTTGGATCTTTGCAATCCATTACCTAGATCACCCCATNAACTCCAATTACGGTGCAACCAAATTGAGGACGCAATTGAGTTTGGATCTTTGCAATCCATTACCTAGATTACCCCGTTCACACCATATATTTACAATGATTGAGAGTCTGTGAGTTGTGTGCATGTTGCTCTGATAGAAGCTATGGGGTGGAAGCAGGGTGACATAGATTGGTGAGGGTGAGGGGTCCCATGGGGCTGCCGGGGACAGGGTTTATTTTCTTATATGGGCTGTGCGGGTGATGGGTGGCGCAGGGTTGATGTTTCTTGGAGGGGGAAGGGAGGGAGAGAGAGAGAGAGAGGGGAAGAGGGAGAGATAGATGTGTTATGGGTTGAGAGTGAGTAGTAGTGGAGGTGGGACTCGTTGGAGTGGGCAGTGGAAGATGTGGGGTGTGGTGCGGTGGAAGTGGAAGTGGGTCGAGGTGGGTGGCAAAGGGGGTGGAGTGGGAGATTTTCAGTCTTTGTCTCCCTTAGTTATATATACTAGTTGGTCCTGCACATGGCAACTCGTGTGCTTGATTGTAAAAGAGTGAGATAGGGAGGTGGTTAAGTGTAGTTAAGGGCTCATAGGTGGTTAAGATGAGAAGAAAATAAAGGTTTACATGTGGACACCAAATCTTTCCCTCCCTTTATAATAGTATTATGTATATACAGAAAACTTTGTTTTACTCCCTATGGTTTGGGAATTAAGCACGTAACCCTGGTGTTTCAAAATCAACACATAACCCCCACGAGGTATGTGGACTATATGCACACTAAGGGGATGTTTGGATTGCGGGTTAAAGGGGGTTAACACATGTAGGATTGGATAAAATATGGGAAGTAAATTTGATGATTGGATAACCGAATCGACAACAAACTGACCGGAAATGCACAAAGCCATTTAACCTGCCTATGTGGGTCATTTGAAACCCATTTTTCTTTTTTTTT